TGAATAAATGAATAAATAAATAAATAAACAAATAAACAAACAAATAAACAAACAAACAAACAAACAAACAAACAAACAAAACAAAACAAAACAAGAATTTCCAGCATGCAGTTTTTCAGTTCTTGTTATTATTCACCTTGTTTTGTCTCTTCAGACGATACAGGAAAGTTTCAGGTCCGAGGCTCGTTACAGCTGAAACCTGGCCGGGAGCCCAGCGTCTCGCTCACACAGAACCAGCTCTCAGAGGAGGACAGAGCAAAACTGAAGGTGGGTTCAGACCGGTGTTGTTTCAGAGACACATTCTGTTAAAACCAGACATTGTTTAAAAAGTGATCATCAAAAAATAGACAAGAAATTAGCCTTTTCTTTAGTTGTTAATTTTTTTTTTTTTTTACTTTTATGTCTCCTCAGGAAGTGGCTGCAGTGGACGGTCTCTACAGAATCCGAGTTCCTCGTGTTTTCCTGCAGGCCGACCGACAGACGGAGTGGCAGATGGAAGGCCACCTCACAGCGTTTGTCAGAGCTGTGTGTACTTCACTCCTCTTCAMCAGAATCAGCTGCTGCTTCACAAGTTCTGCTTTTGGATTAAATTATTGTTTATTTGTTAAAGCAAATCCATAAAGCATTTTTATTTCCACTAATGAGCAACTTTAAGTGAAGATTGTGACTTTTTAGACAGAATTATTCAACAAGATGACGTTTAGAATGTAATCTAAAGGTTATTATGTAACTATGTAAAATAAAACTAATTTAGTAACAGGTAAAATTTTATTGTCCTCAAAGCTCAGTTTAGCTTACTGTCAGGAAAAAAAAAAACCAAAATAAAAGACGAAATTATAAGATGTTACATTTTTATAACTTCAAACTGAACTGCAACCTTTAAAAAGGATTTAAATATTTAACACGTAAATGTTATTGTGAAGCTGTACTTCCCTGTGATCTTCAGTGTGCCATGGTTGAGTCCCACCTGAGTGATGTCATCACGCTCCACACCGACGTCTCTGGATACCTGATTGGTGTCTCCATAGTGACGATACCTGGAGCCTGCAGAGGCACCGAGGTTGAAGATGAAGTGGATCTTGAGGTTTTCAACACCACGCTCAGCATCATGGCTCCCGTCAACGCTCCCGGGTCAGTACAGCTCATCAGTGTGCTCTTTTCTTTTCTTTTTTCCATTTTTAAATTTTGGGTTTTCGTTTGAACGCTGACTGAAATGTTTCTCACAGACCTGAGACGGCTCTGTTCCTCGAACGAATGGAACAAGAAACTGAAAAGAAAGGAAAGAATCCACAGGAGCAGAAATCCTTCTTCGCTAAATATGTAAGTTAGCGCACTGAAGGCTGAAAGTGTGCGAGGTGGATTTGAGATTCTGAGATTTATGAGTCGACGTTCACTCTGTTGTTTTTACAGCTGTTTGTTGTTACAGCTGTTTGTTGTTACAGCAACTAGCTTTTTGATCATTTCAGCTTTTATCTAGCTTTTTGATCATTTTAGCTTTTAACTAGCTTTTTGATCATTTTAGGTTTTAGCTGTCGTTTTGATAAATTTAGCTTGTAACTAGCTTTTAGATCATTTTAGCATTTAACTAGCTATCATTTTGATCATTTTAGCATTTAACTAGATTTTTGATCATTTTAGCTTTTGACTAGCTTTTTGATCATTTTAGCTCTTAGCTNTCATTTTAGCTTTTGACTAGCTTTTTGATCATTTTAGCTCTTAGCTGTCATTTTGATCATTTTAGCTTTTGACTAGCTTTTTGATCATTTTAGCTTTTGACTAGGTTTTTGATCATTTTAGCTTTTATCTAGCTTTTTGATCATTTTAGCTCTTAGCTGTCATTTTTATCATTTTAGCTTTTATCTAGCTTTTTGATCATTTTTAGGTTTTAGCTGTCATTTTGATAAATTTAACTTGTAACTAGCTTTTTATACTTTATTGTTTTAGCTTGCTTTTTGATAAGTTTAGCTTAAAGCTAATTTTTTATGCATTTGCAGGTCTTTTGCTGCTTTAGCTTTCAGGCTTTTAACTAGCCTTTTACCACTTTTATAAAGCTTTGCACTACTTCTAGATAAGCTTTGCTGAATTTTAGCCTAACTTTTAAATCTTGTTACTGTTTTGCTACATTTAGTTTGAACAGCACACTTTCAGTCATTTAGCTCCCAGTTCATTTCTTGCAGAAATGTCATTTCACTATGTATATATATATTTTTCTATAAAACTTTATTTTTCTGTTTTTTTTTTTCCACCATAAATGTTTTTTCTTGTTTTTAGTTGTTTTTTTTTCTCGTTAGTTTGATGTTTTCGGCTCCTAAGTGTTCCCCGCTCGGGACGGCTGTCAGCTTTAACTGAACCAAACAGATTAGTTAAAGAACCTTTTGTTCTAGTTGTTGGTTCAAATCCAGCTCTGATGCTTCCCTTTGTAACAGTTGCTTTACTGAAATATTAAAACAAACAAAAAGTCAGATTTTGTTCATCAGAGTTGCTGTTAGGAGATAAATTTAGGTGACATTTCTGGGACAGTGATCTTGTCCGGTGTCTCGGTGGTGTGGCTCGTCTGAGCAGTGTTGTTGTTTATATGATCCTTTGTGTTGTGTTGTGTTGTGCTGTGTGCAGTGACAATGTGTTGACTCGGTGCTGTGCTGTGTTCCAGTGGTATTTGATTCTGGGAGGTGCAATCTTCCTCATGATCTCCAATTCGGCACAGCCCCCAGCAGGGGGCGGCAGAGAGCAGAGCTGATTCCCACTGAAGTACAGTTTTCTTCTTGTGGTTCATTCTGTCCCCCCCTCTCCTCTCTGTTTCTGTTTTTAACTCGTCTAAATCAAACACAAACCCTAGTTTTCCACTTCTTCTTCACTCCGGTGCTCTCTCAGAGGTTTAATAACAAACACGTCGCCAGATGATCGATGAAATATTACTGAATTAACAGTTAGAAGCTGAACATTTCTTTACTTGAAGATGTGTAGCATGTGTTTGGTGTTTAACCCTGAGCTCTTCACTCTGTAGTCCTGTTAGTTTTTTATTTATTTTTTTAGTTTCCTTAACTTTTTCTTCATGGCCTAATAAATTTGACCTAATCTGGGATTAAAAAAATTGTGGAACCTTCTTAAAATGAACATGAGGGATTYCTGTTGAATGTCTTTTCATTAAAACATACATCTTACTCTAATTACCTCGTCTCTTTTCTCTTGCAGTGGATGTACATCGTGCCTCTCGTCCTCTTCCTGATGATGTCCGGCGCTCAGGACCAATCAGGAGGAGGCGCTGGCGGCGGCGCTGCCAACGGAGGAGGTCGATGATCCAACACGCCGACGGTTTTCCTGCTGAACGTTGACCGAACAATGAGTTTCTCCAACAGGTTTTATTTGCTCTACATAAAACTGTTTAAGGAGGGGAAATATTCGTCAGATCCATCTTTGACATGTAAAGTTTAAAGTAGATATTGTGACCCGCAGATGACTGCACTTTTATTACTAATGTGAAAATAAAGTATTTATTACTTGAGTTGTTGAKGTTTACTCTACTGCTCCTCGTATCGCTCACCGTTAAAACGTGACATGAGCACAATTCAGAATATTACTCATCAGGGTTCATGGAAGCTGCTAAAAATAAGCAACCTTTTCTGAAACTATGAGCTGATAGAAGGTAAATATTGTGACGGGAGCCCGGCAGGACAGAGGCCAGTGTCAGCGGGACATTCCCCCCGTCTCCTCTGACATCTGATGATTTAGAGGACGTTCGAAGGTTTATGTTCCACCATAAGTGAGATCATTTGAGCCGTCGTTTCCARGCCATCAATCTGGTCACGTTGACTCCGTGTGCTTTATTAACGGCTCATTTGTAAATTAGAACTAAAGCCTGTGCTGRGACGGCTGCATCATAATGTCCCGTGTCCATAAAGCTAATGATCGAGGGGAAATAATGTGGAGCATCAACTCTTTACTGGGTCCTTTCTCAAAGTAAGTTATTTGAATTTAATTTAGAGTTTCAATAAGACACGGGGACAAAAAAATAATGTTTAGTTTTAAGGTTGCATCCTGACCTKGCCTGGCCCTTGCCTTCCAACGCAGTTCCGCTCAATTCTAGTTTCGCTTCTCTGCTCTGCTCTGGGACTTCTCCCATAGACAAGGATTTCGCTGGCAGATTTTTAGCCAAACCAATCAGAGCACTTCTCTCCTCTCAGTAGGGTTGTTTACAGCGCTCGCGATTTCCGGTTAGCTTCTTAGCTTAGCCTCCTTCACAGCGACACACACACGCTTCAGCAGAGGCCACGCCTCTAGCAAGAATCGCCTCTCTATTGCAGCGAGTCCAGACCCTTGTATGAAGCAAAGTTAAGGACAAGGGTCTGGTTTTTACCAGGCTAATCCTGACCCACTGATGTAGAAGACTTTGATTTCTCTCTGTCCATAGATAATTGTCCCAGCAGGTCTTTGCAGACTTTTTGTCTCCCTCGTGTCCAACCATGCTTTATGTTTCACTGCTGTCTGATCAGAGTTTTACCAGCCGAGCTGTTCCCTGTATCACAGTGATCACAATGAATAATATAAACATCCCCTTAATGCCCCCAAAGGTCATGCTACAATCCAGTTTAAACCACTGGCAGCAGGAAGAAGCAGCTGCTGAATCTTGTTTTCAAGCTTCACACAGAATTGAGGCGGTAATCTAACTGCCGGCACTGACAGCTTCATCACACCTCATTAAAACACCTCTAACTAGCTTACTCTTAAAAAGACAAACAATGAGAAAAGGTGCTCCCATGTCTTCAACAGAAAAAGTGAGTCACAACTGGCAGAAYGTTTGGACCTGAACTAGTCACTTCAATGGTCTTGATTAAAATTTCTGAAAATCTTTACAGTAAAACTGGATGCAACACAAAAATATATCCTAAACACGTTATCTCAAGAAAACAAGCGCTCCTCCAGGAGGATCCTGAGGATCCCAGACAATGATTTATGATTCTCTTCAGCAGATCGGTGTCTGCTTCCAGGAGGCATCTTAATCAGATGGCTGAACCACTGTCTGCTCTCAGTCCTGGGGCWGAGCCAGAGGGGTGGCTGGGGTGACAAYTGCCACCTGGTATCTGATTGGCCACCCTCAAYTGATTGACAAGTGGGCTGGCGATCACGTGGTATTTCAAAGTTTGGCGGTTAGAGCATTAAAAACAAGTAAATATCTGTCAAACAGCTGAATTTTCTGTGTGGCCAGTCACAACGACATGGGGCAACTAGGAAAGTTTTCGAGAATCTCTGACGAGTATTGCCATGTGGCCTTAAAGTTATGACTTGTCTGTGCTTATATGTTCGTGATCACACCAAATTTCAGCTCAGTATTTCTAAAACCAGCTGAGTTGGAGCCATTTGAATTAAGCTTTGGTGACCATCTTGGATTTTGTATTTGAAATCAGATTTTATTAAAGATTGTTTATCAGCTACTACACTAATTTTTAGCTGTATTCATTTAAAAATGGTCCAATTATAGCTCATTGTCAAATTAGCAATATCATTAGCTGTTAGCTTAGTTGGAATTAGCAATCATGTTTGGGATCATTACAGCATGGGCACAGGCCTTTCTGACTGCAACCAAACACATTGGCTCTTTATTTAATCAGGCTGTAAAAAATGATGCATAAAAAGCCAATCCGCTAACATCACTGTACTGTTATTTAGATAAACAATTAAATGAGCTTTGACAGCTTTGTTTTCTTGAACTATTCTATATATGTATTAATCATTTAGCACCAGAATCATTGCGTACATTTATTGAAAGAGAGAACAGAACTAGAGTCACTAGAAGAGCCACAAACTCTGACTGTAAAATACAATTTTTCACTGGACGACTTTTGGACAGACAGCCTTCTCTGTCGAGTTGTAAGCTTTGGAATTAACTACCATCTTATTTTAAGACCATAAAATGTTCACTAAAAGGGTCCGGGTCTCTGCCCTGTTCCGTGGGAGTTCCACAGGGTAGCATACTGGGCCCATTGCTTTTCCTATTATACATAAACGACCTTCCAAAAAT